GGAAGCATCACATCACAATGTGCCCGTAAAGCGTTCACCGACGTACCGTCCTAGTCGAAGGGGGAAAAGTCGCTGTCCCGCCCACTTGCGGGCAACCACGAAAATCGCGAGCGCTGCGGCAGCGGCTGCGTTGCACAATCCTTTCGGGAATGGGGCAGAAGCGGCCCAACAGAAACGGACAGGAGGCCGCACTGCACCAGGATGGCGCGCGCAGGCTACTCGGGTATCGCAATACTGGGTGATATCAGGGTTCGGATGTTTCCGGCGGGATTCTAACACAAAGAGATATCAAGAAAATTGCAAATGTATCGAGCATGCGCGTTCCTGGAACTCGTGCTAGCCATCAGCAGTGATCGATTTGCCAGTGTGGGATGTGTATTCACTTCGTCCATGAGTTCGCGTCGTTTCCACATCGACAACGGACCTTAGCTGTCCCGTTACACAATACGCAACCCGGTTCGTGTTGACACGGAGCTCACCACGGAGATCCAAGACGAACGTTTGGCGCGTTGCTTTCGCCAACACGTGGGCCAACACGCTGAGCCAACACGCAGCGTGTTAACACGGACGTCTTGAACACGGCACGCGTTGCGTTTCAAAGCGCATGTATCAGGACAGCAAAGCAACGGACGTCACGCTGTCATTCTGATTGGCTCACTACGGCAATTGGCTGGGTCGGGATAAATGTGACACAGGTCAGCACATGAAGAAGTGGCAATGGCGGCATAGGCGCCCACCGCACCACGCGCTGCACCAAGCGAATCCGATGAATAAGTGCGTCGAGCCTTAAGCTGGTGATCTCCACATCGACCTCATCAAGGGAGCCATGTGTGCCTGGATGCTGCTGATGCCGTTCCTGGCGAAATTGAAACCTGGTATCCCATGTCCCTTGATTCCGAGGTCCTGGAAACATCCCAGTCTCTGGTACCCGCGGTTGATCTGAATGTAGACGGCGCCGTGGCGGAATGTCATGCCTGGGTCGAGAGTCTCCCCAGGCTAAGCAGAATTGGCCCAAGGGCCGTGGAAAAGGCTCCGCTGCCAAGTCGGCGGCGACTTCGGTGTTTGTGTGATGGGGCCTCGTGTGCATAGAGGCCCCCACCTGCCTGGTATGACGATGGCAGATGCGTTAGCAGATGCCATCGTGTCACTTGGCAGGCGTATCACAACGCACGTGGGTTATACAATCGGCCGTGCAAGTTGCGCACAACTGTAGGCAAAATGGCAGCAGTACAGCCCGTAAGCGACCCCCGACGTGCCTTTCTAGCTCAGACGCCAAAGGAAGCCCCCAAGAGGCTCCAAAAGGTCATCCATGACACCGCCAAAAGGCCCCCAAGACACCCCAAACAGGCCTCTGACAGTCCTATTGCCTTCGACCCGAGCACGGTGGCAGGATGGACCGAATTCCACTAGACCCGCCTCACGGGATGCTTGGCGTGCCAGGCTTCCAAGCACTTCTTTGTCTCGCCACAAGGCTGTCAAAGGCTCTCCGACATATCTCTACGCTCGCGACTGCCCCCCCCCTCCACCACGTCAAATGTGCCATGTGCACGGACTTCTGGTTCAAGATGGTCAGGATGGCCCCAATATCGCACAACATGACCCTCAGGACGGCCCACGCCGGTCGACGGTCCAAGAAGGTGCAAAGGTGGCCCGATGGGCCCTAAAGGCTCGAAGATGGCCCACGCAAAAACATGAGTTTGCTTCGGGCGAGGCACGCCGAGACCTTCATCGTTTGTTCCCGAAGGCGAACGGTCGCAGAATTGGTCGACAACTGCCGTCCCTGGATTCAAAACAGTTCAACCGTGTTCCATGTAGTCACGCTCTTTCATGTTACGCTCTAGTATATCCTGGTATGATCTCGACGGGCTGGCGTGACGTCATGACGCCTGTGACGTTGGATGTGTCGTCTGTTATGCTGTTCATCTGCACGTTTAGGTGTCTCGTCTGATTCAGTCTGCTACGTTATGCTCATCTCTGCCACCACATGGTTTGGAATATGTCATGTTCTGATATGGTATGATGTGTAATGTTATGTGTTATGACAACTCGGCTCTGTATAGTTTATTATGATGCGCTCTGCTAGTCTGTGTCGCTATGATCGGATAACGCGGTATGATATGTTGCGCGATGCTGTGTTATGATATGGTATGGTCTGTCAAGGTGTGGTATGGTATGATCGGCTCTGTTATGCTGTGTGGTGTTCTGTCGCCATATGGTATGCCATGTGACTGCCGGGTATGTTATGTGATGTTATGTTATGGTATGCTCCACTGTGTCATGAAATTGCTGCGCTATGTGTGTCATGCCATGTCATGCTCGTGTTATGTTGTGGCATGGTGTGGTGTGTCGTGTTGTGTTACATCGTGTTCGTCATCACTATCTCCGCTGCCCTTGTATGACATGTTATGCGGCGTTGTGGCATGATGTAATATGTTATGCCAAAATGTATTATGTTATGCTCGGTTATGATGTGGTGCGTTATGTCGTGGTAAAGTATGTCATGTTCTGCTCCGGTATGGTATGTGATGCTATTTGTCTGACGGCTCGGCTCTGCATTGTAAAGTATGATATACTATGCAAGTATGTGTCGCTATGCTCTTCTGCCGTGTTATGATATGTCATGCGACGCTGTGCCATGCTACGATATGTTATTTCCAGGCGTGCTATGGTATGCTCGTTACGTTATGTTATGTTGCGTATTGTAGTCTTATTGTATGTCATAGTTTGCTCTGGTACATTTTGTGATTCCATATGATGCTCGATATTGTCATGACATTATTATATTGTGTTCTGTCATGTTATGTCATGATCGTGTTATGTTCTGTCATTTTATGGTGTGTCATGTTGTGTTATGTCGTGTTCGTCGTCGCTATGTTCTGCTGCCGTGTTCTGATATGGACTGTGATGCTGCGTCATGATTTAATGTTCTACTTTGGCATGCTATTGACATGTTATGTTCTGTCATGTCTGTCAAGCTCTGTTCCGTTCTGTCATGCTCTGTTCTGTCATGTTCTGTTTTGTCGTGTTCGTCGAGGGCGCGAAACGGGACACCCGGAACACTCGGGGATCATCGGGACAACTTGGGGCCTGGCGGCCGCGGTTTGCAGGGTGGGGTTGGCCCGGCGCGAGTCGGAATACTCGGGATCACCGGGACAACTTGGGGCCTGGCGGCCGCGGTATGCAGGGTGGGGTTGGCTAGGCGCGAGGCGGGATACTCGGGATCACCGGCACAACTTGGGATCTCGCGGCCGCGGTATGCAGGGTGGGGTTGGCCAGGGGCCTGTTCTTGAAATCTAACAGCCCCAACCTGTCGGGTGGGGAGCAAAGTTCTGAAGACGGCCCCAGGGGGCCCGTCCCCCGAGTGTCCCCCCAGCGGTTTCCCCAAACGGCTGGAGGAACACGCTCGACATTTCACGACGACAGGCGTTTCCAAAAGTCCGGTGGCGGCGGTGACTCGCCGTAGATGCGTCTTCAATCAGCTCTCGACGTTACCAGCGTTCGGATGGGCGTGAGCATCTGGGCCCCAAATATGGACGAAATTTGCGCGTTTCCAAAAACGCCAACCTCAGCATCCCAAAAACAACGGAGGTTGGCCGACAAATCCGCCAGCGCCCATATGGACACGCATGCCGCATGCCTCGCAAAATTACCATCTCCTACTCCAATTGTCCTACGCAGCGACGGCATAATCCCACATCCAAGCTGACACCACAGAGAAGATCACAAGAGCCGCATCTAGGGAAACTAACAGTTACATGTAGAACTCGGAGGTCCGCTCGGATTCCTCGGACCGGGGCGGCGCTGGAGGAGCCAGCAGGGGGCCCCAGCGCTGATCCGAGGAACCCGCGCGGACCTCTAAAAATGTTGATGCTTCTGTCATCGTTCATTCCCCGAGCATGGCAAACACCACCTCCCCTTTGAGCAGGGACCGACCGTCCCGGCATTTCTATTGGCCTACCACAAAACGTTCTTAGAACCCAGGAATGTCCTGATAGCAAAAACAATGTTCTTAGACCAGAAACTCAATCTGTGAAAACAAGACAGCCCCAGCCAGGAATGTTCGAAGAACACTTCCTGGAGACCACAAAAGGTTCTTAGACCATTGTGTTTGGTAAGCTTATAGGCACGCCAGGACGCTTCGCCACTGCTTGATGCAGGTCGAGAACGCCAGGGGGTGGGCAAGCCCGGCGGCGGCGGCGACGGCAGGCGGCGACGACGACGGCGCCCCGCCTCTCCGCTCCGCCCGCGGAGAGGAAGCCCCCCCCTCCCCCAAAGCCCCGAGCGGCCTCCGCGCCCTCCCTGCCGGCGCGGGCGGAGCTGGCGTGGAGCCGGCACACAGAGGGCGGCTCCTCGCGCGGGGACCGCAGGGCTCCCAGAGGCGGAGGGGCTGAAGGAGGAGGAGGAGGAGGAGGAGGAGGAGGAGGAGGAGAGGAGGAGGAGGAGGAGAAGGAGGAGGAGTAGGAGGAGGAGGAGGAGGAGGAGGAGGAGGAGGAGAGGGGGAGGAGGAGGAGGAGAAGGAGGCGCAAGCACTGCCGAGCGTCGGCCCCAAAGCAGCGGTTGCAGTGATATTGCCATCGTGCTGCCACAAGGGGCACTTGTCCCCGACGCCACGCAATCCGAACCCGAGGCCTCCTGGTGCATACCAGAAGGCCTGGGCAGCCAGGTGCGAACAACTGATCGCCACGCGTGAACAGCAGCAGCCAGAGCAGGGAGAGGGAACATGCGGACAGGAGGAAAGAGCACGGAGAGGGGCAAGAAGGCGATCGAGAGGGGAGGCAACAGAGCAGGAAGGAGAAAGACCACGGCAAGCAGCGCGCAGCGGCAGGGGGACGGGAGACAAGGAAACTGCAAGCCAAACGAAACGCTGGCAGGTATTGTGTATTGTGGAGCGCGGAACCTCCTGCACCGCAGGAAAGCGCGGCTGCATCCATGGGCGGCCTGAGCCACCAGAATTAGCAGATTGCAAGGAAGACGAGGAGGAGAGACAAGAAGAGGGTAGAGAGGACGAAGAGGGAGCCAACGGAAGGGCCGACCACCGGAACTGGAAGGACGCCTGAGCACGCGTGCGCGGGGGCACTCGGAGAGAATGGATACTACGGCGCCAATGTGTGTCCTCTGGCCCAGGTGACCAGCGACACGAAAAACGAATCACACGCAACAGAGAGAGCGGACAGAGGCAGGGAGCAGGAGCCGGGGAGCTCCCAAGGGGGGGGGCGGGGGACAGATGCGCCCAGTCAGGGAGCAGGAGCCGGGGAGCTCCCAAGGGGGGAGGGGGAGCTCCCAAGGGAGCAGGAGCCGGGAAGCTCCCAGTCAAACATTAAAACCTGAACATCCAATGTCATAGGCAGCTCCCAAGGGGGGGGGGGACAGATACGCCTCCGTCCCTGGGGGTCCTCCTCCCCCCCCAACCCTCTCCCACGCCTGTCCTCCTCCGGTCCTCCTCCCCGGGAGGGGGTCCCAGGAAGGAGTCCTCCTCCTCCTCCTCCTCCTCCTCCTCCTCCTCCTCCTCCTCCTCGTCCTCCTTCTTAGCATTGCCTTCTCCTCCTCCTCCTCCTCCTCCTCCTCCTCCTCCTCCTCCTCCTCCTCCCCCTCCTGGTCGTCGTCGATGTCTTTCAGGGTCGGCGGCACCCGCCGTCAGGCCTTCACAATAAGTCAAACACTAAAAACTGAACATCCAATGTCATAGGCAGCTCCGTCAAGCGATCGCTGGAAACTCGATGAGCAACATGAGCCCGCACAGCAGGAGTGCCTATCGCATGTCACATGCATGCCTACATCTGTGACCATAAGGACCATAAGGAACAGAACGCTGGTGAAGGAACGACGGAGCTTTCCTGGCCACGGCGAGCCTCGGCTTCGAGTAAGTTCCCCGAGATCGACCTAGCGGCCCCGAAAACGAGAGCCCTTGCTGAGCCCGGAATGGTCCATATTCCAGCGTCTTGAGTGCACTGTCCTGGCGGGGGGGGGGGGGCGGATTTGGTGAAGGTCGGCCGCCGACTTCGGTTGGCAGACGGGTTTCCCAAGTTCCCGGTTCGGGTACTTGGTGCTCCTAAGTATAAACGGAGCGGTGGGCTCTGCAAAATAGAAGACACCACTCAGAATGCAGGAGGCGTGGTTGAAAACGGATACGGACAACGCAAGGACTGTGGAGCGTACGCAGAGAACGCAGAGATTATGGAGAACTGTATACCTATATCTATATATATATATATACATATAGATGTGTATATTTATGTATACAGAAAGAGAAAGAGAGAAAGAGAGAGAGAGAGAGAGCGTAGGGCGCGCCCGTGCACAAAGTGCAAAAAGTGCAGACAGCGCAGAGGGCGTGGAGAGCTCGCAAGAATGTGCATGGCGCAGGGAGTAGATGAATCGCGCGGAGCGCATAAGAGTTTAGATGGCGCATGCATGGCAGAAAACATTGCATACTGCTCCGAATGCCCTGCCCCAGACAGCGAGGAGCAGAGAATAGTGCCTTGGTGATTGCTAGATGCTAGTCAGCAGAAGGACCCAGATCAGGCAGAAAATGAAACTGTTGGAGTGGACTTCAAGGCCTTGTTTCAGATGGAAGGCATCTGGCCAGGCCCGAAGCAAAGAATGCCCTCAAGCTGGCTATTGGGGGCTCACCCGGTCCCCTAATCTTGCGCTTCGGAAGCTACATACCAGGGTGACATCAAAAGGAATGCCTGGGTTGGTTCGAGGTGGCTAAGCACTCTGCTCAGAGCAACAATGCTCACCAGCCTGACTGTTTGGCAATTCCCCACGGCCAAGTTCTCGCTAAAGAGCGTGACCAGAGCCATGTTGGAAAGGTTGGAGCCTTGGCCATCCTCGAAATAGTTCTCGGGAATCTGGAACGCGTGCCGATGGGCCCGCGCCCACTCCCGGCGTTGAAGCCGCAAACCACCATCTGGGGCAGGGGAGCGCAGGGGTTGGCCCAGAAAACAAACGACACCACCCCACCTACGGCCCCACGGGGCTTAGCATATACCAGAAAATCTGGCGTGGGATTTGGCGTGGTATACGCTACGGCCCCCGATGGGCCGTAGCGCAACTTGGATGGCCGCAGGTTGCGTGGTGTCGTTAATTTGTCGCTCGAGAGACGCCTGTCTTGACGTCGGACTGGTGCGATGGCCCTGGGCTCCCTTCATTCGAATATCACCCCTGGCTCAGAGGAGGTGTTTTGGGCAACCTGGGACCCCCGTTCCTTGCTCTTTGGGCTGCTTTCACTGCGGGCGCGGACGTCGAAATTTCATGTTGCGTGAGCTGTGGGACACAGGCTGTTGTCAAAGCCAAAGCGCTCGCTAGCCCGCTAATGCTAAAAACTGAACTTTTCTCCTTGGGCACGAGACGAGACGACACGAGACGAGACGAGCGCCGATACCGCTCCGCGCGGGGCCGCGGGAGCGCGCCTTGAAGGCGACGGCGGTGGGGCCGTGGCCCCTCAGATGTCATAGGTCCAGACATACCGGATTGGGACTCATGATGACCAGCTGTCGTCCTTGTCCTGCATGTCCGGGCCAGCTCGCCGTTCCGAAAATTATATGCGTAGGACTCCTCGTCAAGATCACGGACTTGGACCCCTCCTCCCGCATGCACTCTCACGCCAACATGAAGCTGCTGCACACTGCATTATGATGCCGAAACACTTGGCGGCTCTCCGAGCGGCTCAACATGTTGCTCCTCTCGGTAGCCACGTCGTTGACAGATGAAGGCGGCATCCTTCTCAGTGGAGTCTGGCTTCACGGCGTCGTCGGTCCGCTCTTTGCTTGCTTCCGACGTACACTTCTCCAGCTCGGTGTTGCACACAGTTTCAGAAAGAGGCTCCCGCACTCCCAACGGTGACCATACGAATCCTTCATCTTTCCAAATGGTTGCCTCAAAATCCAGCGATGGAGCACCATATCCCAAATGCTGCAGCAAGAAATCCACCTTAACTTCTAGGCATATGGTACTTCTGGAATTGATGTGCATGTCTGGGCTTGCATTGCCAACAAATGGACAACAATATGCAATGTGAGACTTGATACTGGTCGTATATATCATTGCATGTCGCACTGCAACTCCTGTCGCGACGCCGGCGCCGTTTGGATCGCGATATGTTGCTGGAGTCTTCCACCACACAATGCTGCCGAATCACATTAGCAGCACATGGCGAGGCCGTTCCAGAAAGACTCTGGGAAGCGGGGCTCATCTCTGCAACTTGGTTTGACATCTTGAGACAAAATGGCTTGAGCCTAAATGGCTACGGGCTCAGAACACGAGCGACCTAGAGAAACACAGAACTCACCACCGCGTTTAAATCCACCTGACCTCTAGGAATTCAAACACTGCCCCACCAAACCCAAAGCAGCCGAACCATCCGTGAAGGGATGCAGGATCGGCTGCTCGAAGTAGCTGGGCATAGGGGGAGGTCATGTTCTGCTATGCTGCAGGATAGGTAACCGACTTCCCTGCGGGTCGCTGTCATGCAGTCAGGTGTGTGCGTGTGTGTAAATATGACATTTCTATTTCTTTGAACATATGTGGACATATATTTATGGAGAGAGGCAGGTCGGCAGGCAGGCAGGCAGGCAGGCAGGCAGGCAGGCAGGCAGGCAGATGGACAGACAGACAGATAACCGAAATATTTATATCCACCGATCCGGCGTGTGAACTACAAGGAGCCTCAGCAAGATCTTCAGCTCTGAGCCTAAGCAATAAGTTCAGATAGCTTCAGCTCTGCTTGGGAGGGTCGCAAGGGTGGCTCTGCCGGGGAAGGGGAGGAGGGGGGGGCATCCGGCGTTTTCTTTATGATTTGCGCAACCGGACCCCCCCCGGGGAAGCGGGGGAGGGGGGAGGGGGCGTCCCCCATCTGGCGCTTTCTGAATGGTTTGCGCATCCCCAAGGTGTTTCGAGGGGTCCCAGCGACCCCCCTCAGATCTAGCCGCTACCGCCCCCAGGTCTCTCCCCTCCGAACCCTCCCCGGACCCCCCGGGACCGCTCCAGACACCCCCCCAGAAGAGAAGAAAGAGGACCGGAAGAATCGAGGAGGGAGGAGGCCACAGAGCCGCGAAGATCACCGAATCCAGAGCCCCTGGATCGGCGGAACTGGCCAGAGGCCATTACAATATGTATATATATATATACATATACACACATATATATGTATATATGCCAATTTATACATACAGAAAGACAGAAAGAGATCGCGACACGGGAGGACGACATAGCGTGAACACATGTAGTGCCGAGATTTCTAAGAGTCCCCAAAACAGAAAACAAAGAGAGCGGAATCAGCGGATAGAGTGCAGGGCGTGCAGTGCGCAAGTACTCAAGCGATCGGAAAGCAGAGGGAAAGGAAAAGCCGAGAAAAAGAGAGAGAGAGAGAGAAGGTAGAGAGCGTCGATTACCTATGGATGTAAACTCGGAGTACGAAAACAAGGGGAAGATACGCAGAGAGATATGTAGAGAGCCTGAAAAGAACATCGGCCGACTGGATAAACGCATAGAGACCAAGTGGCTTATCGAGAGCAGCGGAAGCTATAGAGGTATGTTTGGCAACGGGAAGAGAACATGTAAGTAGAGTGGGCACGGCGACTAGAGGAATATGCGTGTAGATAACGCCAACAGGGCAGAGAAGAGAGAGAAAGAGAGAGGAACGGAGAGCGATAACGAACGCTTATAAAGACCAACACCAGTACAGGCAGAGAGAGAGAGAAAGAGAAGAGAGCACCGAAGAGGAAAGGATGAAGGGGAGTACACAGCGCGAGGACTTGATAGAACGGTCTGGCAGAAGACTACCTTTTGGTATCGCGAACCATCGCCATGCAATCTGTCTTCCGATCACCTGGTTGATACAAATCTCCAGTCCAATATACGTTTTGGTTATACCCAGGAGACCTGGAGACTGCTGCGTGCCACAACTCGGCGGGACCCTGCCCAACTCAAACTGAATGTGGCGGACTCTCACTCTGGAACAGTGGTGCGCCCACGACGCGTGCTGCTCCCAACTTGCGCTGATAGCGAGCTCTGCCATGCGCTCGGACCAGGGGCACAAGACCGTGGACCAAGAACACGAGCCCCTCCGCCGAAAGCACCGGGCCGCGTGGGGAGACCAAACACGAAGCACGCATCCCGAGGTCGGGGGGGCCCCACGGCGAAGAACACAAAAGGGCACTCCTCCGAATCATAGGCTGTTTTTGAGCTCTCCTGCCAGCTGTGTGTGTGGAGGCGTCGATGTTCCAGCTGCTGGTATTCGGCTGCGAGCCCTGGGGGGGGAAACGAGAAGGGGCGGGCCTCCTCAAAGTCTCGGAAGATTCCGCCGGCTCCCGGAGAAGTGATCCAAGCCTGCCCCGAAGACACAGACAACGTCTCAAAGGCTGCAGGGCGTCTGCGAAGCCCCGCCGCCTTCTGAGGAGAACGCCTCCTTCTCGCTTCCCCCCCTCGCTCGCCGCCGAGGTGCATGCCAACACTTGCCTGCTGCGCGCTGCGTCTCCGCGGCGGCATCGGCAGCGCGCCGCACCTTCGGCGCGAACAAAAACTGCCGATGCGAGCATGACGGACACCAAGGCTCTTTTCGCTCGCCCCTGACCACATATCCGCGCCAAGACGCACCCGAGGCATCGTCCTGATTAGCATTAGGTCGGGCCTGTCCCCCTACAGGGGGATTTTGAACGCAAAGTAAAAAATCCGCCGACCCTGTCGGCGTGTGCGAGGGGCTTGGCTGTTCGAGTCGTCGTCTCCGTCGGTCGTCGCCTCCGTCGTCCCCTTTCCCTGCAGCTTCCTTCTCAAGCTCGTGAGCGAGAGAAAAATCTAGCAGTGTCGTAATCGAGTCGAAGGGAAGCCCCTTCCCTTTGATCCCTTCCCCAGGGGGGGGTCCCGGGGGGGGTGGGGGGGCAGATTCGTTTTTCCTCGGGCGGCCTAGAAACCTCGAAAACACTCCAAATGAGGTCCGAATGCCCAAGATGGCCCCCGAGACGGCCCAAGAGGGCCCCGAGTCGCCCAAAGATCGGCCGAAAACGCCCAAGATAGCCCCAAGACCGTCCAAGAAGCCTCCAAGACGTCCCAGGCCCCCTCCAAGAGACCCCCAGGAAGCCCCAAGAGGCCCCCACGAGGCTTCCAAGCGGCCCCTAAGAGCTTCCCAAGAGGCCCACAAACTACCCCCAAGAGGCCCCCAAGAGCGCTCGTCGTCGTCGTCGTCGTCGTCGTCGTCGTCGTCGTCGTCGTCGTCGTCGCCATTCAGGGTCGGCGGCACCGGCCGTAAGGCCTTCGCAATAGTTCAACAAGATTCCAGAAATAATCAAGTCGTCGACTATGTTTATACTATTTTCGAATATCCCCCCTGTAGAGGGACGTGCCCGACTTAAGATTAGCATTTCGATCAGGATGCCAAGCATGGATACGAGGAGGCCGTCGAAGAGACTAGAACTGCGCGGTTCAGGACACAGCGGACGCACAGTGGGAATCCACCACGGAGCAATGGAGCACTCCTTCGTGCCGATCCCGGCATGCAGGCTTGCGAGCACGAAGAGCAGCCCCACGACCTCTGGGAAAGCGGCTGGGGGTTGAGGGGGAAAGGACGGTGAGGAAAGGAAGGGGATGGGACAACGGCAAAGGCAATGATATCTGAGGGGGTACTGGCAATACCGAGTGCAACGGTAAGGACAAGGGCCCAGAGCACAAGTTCGGCTAGGGTGCGGGGACGGGCAGGCTGGAACGCGTTTCTTTGTGTTCGGCGATGACGGGCGCCATGGGGGGGGAGGGGGGAGGGGGGGTATGACGTAACGCCCCCCCCCCGCCGTTTGGCTCGGGCACCGGAGCCGCTCCCGCGCACGCGACGCGACGAGCGATGACGACGACGACGACGACGACGCGAGCAGCATGGAGGCGGCGATGTGCCCCACTGCGCCTGTGTACACCACAGCGCTCGCGTGCACCACAGCGCGCGTGTATACCACAACGCCTGCGTACACCGCAACAATCGTGTGCAACGCAGCGCCAGTGTACACCACAGTGCTTGCGTACACTACAGCGCTGGTGTACATGTGTACACCGCAGCTACCATGTGCAACACAGCGCCTGTGTACACCACAGTCCTCGCGTGCACCGCAGCGCCTGTGCACGCCACAGCGCGTGCCTACACCACAGCATCCGCGTGCAACGCAGCGCTGGTGTACACCACAATGCATGCGTGCATAGGACAAGTAGAAGCAGCATGTACGTGAGGATTTGCTGCGGACAACCAGACGCCACGCCGAGTTCCCAGGAGTTCCGGAAAGCCTGGGAAGCCTCCTGCAGGGGCGTCCCGGGGGCCCCCGCGGGGACACGGATCCGGGGGTTCGGTTTTCGGGAGGGTCCCCCCCCCAGACTTGTAAACATATAAAAGAGGAGCATGTAGATTCCCAAAACAGTGCTTGCATTCAAAGGGTCTGACATCTGGTCTATGGAACTGGTCCGTGTCTTCGGTCCGGCGGCTATGTGGCCGCCGTCGCCGCCCCGTCGCCGCCTGCCGTCAGGGCCGTATCTTAGGTCTGGTGGCTATGTGCCCGCCATCGCTGCCCCGTGGCCGCCCCGTCGCCGCCTCGTCGCCGCCCGTCGCAATCGTTGGATTGCACCACGTAGATTGCACGACAAACAATCGCGCCTCCGGCGCGTTTTTTGGTCGCTGCTAAAAGAGACTGCGACACATCGATTGCACGACATACCCTGCACCACATAAATTGCACCACATCGAGTGCACAACCACATTTATCGCACCTCACATACGACACTACATACATAGCACATAGTATATTGCAACACGCTAGTTGTTCCACGTACATTGCGCCACATATCTTTCCAGAGCATACTTCGCTCCAGCTATATTGTCCCACGTATATTGCACAGCACAGTTTGCACCACATAGGTTGCAACACATATATGCGACAGCACGAACTGCAAGACATAGTTTGCACAACGTAGGTTGCTCCAAATATTTGCCACCACGTAGGTTGCACCACATAGATTGCATTACATCGAATGTTTCACATCGGCTGCACCACATAGATTCCATTGCACCACTTGGGTTACACACCAACGATTTCATATCGTAGATTTCACAACATGGATTGAAACACATCGTTTGCACCACATGAAATGCACCACTTGTGTTGCCCCGCCTCGATCACACGAAAAACATTGCATCACACATGTAGCACCACATCTGTTACCGAAAAACACGGTTCGGGGTCCACGATGTCTAAAATGCGTATCTCTACAAATACAATAAAGGAAAACAAATACAAAGAGAGAGATAAAGAGAGCGAGACAGAGAAACAAACACATAGAGACATATTCCCCAATCAGAGCCTGCCTCTGTAGGGGCCCTAGCGGATATAAAGCTGAGGTGAGGTGAGCGGCCGATTTCGGTGGCCGGGGCCGGGTGCCCGGGTGCCCGGGGGTTCCCGGGGGTGCCCGGGTGCGCAGGTGTGTGGCCGATTTCGGTGGCCGGGGCCGGGTGCCCGGGTGCCCGGGGGTGCCCGGGGGTGCCCGGGTGCCCGGGTGCCCAGGGGTGCCCGGGTGCCCGGGGTGCCCAGAAGTGCCCGGGGGTGCCTAGCCCAATAGCCCTATATCCCTATAGCCCAATAGCCCAATCGCCATATATCCCTATAGCACTATAACCCTATAGCCCTATAGCCGTACCTATACGACCACCCTTCGGGTGATAAGGAGGTTCGGGGGGGGGGAACCAACGTCTCACTCGATCGGTCTCACTATCGATCTCAGTATCGATCTCACTATCGGTCTCGCTCGATCGATCTCACTCGATCGACCTCACAATCGATCTCACTCGATCTATCTCATTCGATCGATCTCACAATTGATCTCACAATCGATCTCACAATCAATCACATAATCGATCTCACATTCGGTCTCAATATCGATCTCACTATCGATATCACAATCGCTCTCACAATCAACGTCATCATCATCATCATCAACATCATCAACATCAACAGCATCACCAACATCGTCATCATCATGAGGGCACCGTCATCATCATCATCATCATCATCATCATCATCATCATCATCATAAACATCATCATCAACGTCAGCATCATCATCGGGACAACATCATCATCATCATCATCATCATCATCATCATCATCATCTCATCATAAACATCATCATCATCATCATCATCATCATCATCGGGACACAGTTATCGTCATCATCATCAGCAGCATCATCATAATCATCATCATAATCGGGACACCATCATGATCACCATCGTTCTCATCATCAACATTATCATCAACATCGTCATCATCCTCGGGACACCGTCATCATCATGATCATCGCATCATCATCATCATCATCGACATCATCATCAACGACATCATCATTGGGGCACCATCATCATCATGAGCAACATCATCATCAACATCGTTATTATCATTATTATCATCATCGGGACACCATCAGCATCACCATCATCATCATCATCACCATCATCATCATCATCATCAGCATCATCATCGTCGGGACACCATAATCATCATCAACATCATCATCAGCATCATTATCGCCGGGCCACCATTTCCATCAACATCATCATCACCAACATCATCGGAATCAGCATCATCATCATCAGCATCATCATCATCATCGGGACACCATCATCGTCTTCATCATCAACATAATCATCATGAGCATTATCATCCTCATCATCGGGACACTATCATCATCATCGACACCATCATTAACATCATCATCTTCATAGGGACACCATCATCATCATCATCTCATCATCATCATCATCATTATCATCATCATTATTATTATTATTATCATCATCCTCGCGGGACACCGCGGGACACCGGCGGGACACCGCGGGACACCGCGGGACACCGCGGGAGATCGGCGGGACACCGCGGGGCCCCGCGCCCTGGATGAGAAACATTTGGTCCGGCCGCGCCTCAGCCACAGGAGGACACCGCGGGACACCGGCGGGACACCGCGGGGCCCCGCGCCCCGGAAGAGAAACATTTGGTCCGGCCGCGCCTCAGCCACAGGAGACTTTTTCTCGCCCGCCCACGCAGCTTCGCCTTGCACGCACGGCACGCACGAACACGAAACCGAAACCGATTTCCCGGTGGGGGGCTCGCCGTTCCACTTCGATCTCACCCCCTCACCTCCGATAGCCCTATAGCCCAATAGCCCAATAGCCCAATAGCCCCATAACCCCATAGCCCCATAGCCCCATAGCCCTATAGCCCTGTAGCCCTATAGCCCTATAGCCCTATAGCCCTATGGCCCTAAAGCCCTATAGCCATATATAGCCCTATAGCCCGAATAGCCTTACAGACCTTAGCCCTATAGCCCTATAGCCCTGTAGCCCTATAGCCCCATAGCCCTAAAGGCATCTAGCCCTATATCCCTATGGCCACATCGCCCTATAGCCCTATAGCCCCATAGCCCTAAAGCCCTAAAGCCCCATAGCCCCCCCCCCAAATTCTGATTGGGGTTTTGCTCTGGTATCATGTTTAGAGAGAGAGAGAGAGAGAGAGAGAGAGAGAGAGAGAGAGGAAGAGAAGTAAAGACAGAAAGAGAGATAGAGAGAGAGAGAGAACGAGAGAGAGAAAGAGAGAAAGTAAGACAATTCAAAAAAGTGATCTATATATTTATAGACACATGATAAGAACACCACCTGATATTAATAGAGACAGAAAGAGAGAGAGAGAGAGAGAGAGAGAGAGAAAGAGAAACAGAGAGAGAGAGAGAGAAACAAAAAAGGACAACAACACAAAAATAGAGGGAGAGAGGGAGGAGAACGACTGCGTTCAGTCTTGCTGCTGAGGGCGCGGCAGGACTGTCTTGGACTCCCACCGTGTACCAATCACTCGGTGCACGATGCGGTAATCAAGGTAATGTCCGTGCCGCTGGCGCACGTCAGAGGCGAACTGGTGTTTACCGACGCGCAGCTCTGCGGTGCAACGCTGGTGCCCGTCGCGGTGGTCAGCGACGCAGCACTCGAGACGGTACGCGTCTCCCTCGTAGACTTTATTGTCGACCTGCTGTTTTCCGGCATGCTGCTGCGCATTGAGATACTACTGATCGCCGCGCTGCTCGGCGACGTGCTATCCGAGGCCATTCTCGTCCCGGTCGCAAGTCAAGGGTCGACCTGTTACTACCCATCGTGGTCGTCAACGATGCGTTGCTAGTACCAATCGTGGTGATCAGCACCGCAGTACTTGGGATAGTGCTCGTTTTCCACGTGGTCGTTAGGCTCGGCCTACTCTCTAGCGCGATGGCATGCGTCCAAATGCTGGCGGCCGCCCTGCTGCTGGGCACTGTGGCGCTCGAGTGTTCGCCCCACGGATGCACGTCAAGGTCGGGTTGGCGCTCGCCGCCGCGTCGGTCGGAGCTCGCATCCCACCCCCAGTGGCCCAGTGCGGCTCGTGGAAGTACGGCGAAGCTTGCATCCGACCTCCAGTTGGCCAGCGGAGCTCGTGGGAATAGGCCGATGCGCGCATCTGACCCCCAGTGGGCCACTGCGGGTCATGGATGCCCTGGGCCATGGACCTAGCATGGCCCGGACTAGATCAAACGGCGGCGAACGCCCCACACGTGATCCAAGTAGGAGTGAGACTGCTGGCGTTGGATCCAGCCGTGCTGCGCAACGTTGCGGTGATCGACTCCGCCGCGCTGCTCAAAGACGCGGCGATCGACTCCGTCGCGCTGGATCCCGTCGCGCTGCTCAACGTCGCGGCGTTCGTCTCGGGCGCGCTACTCAGCGTCGAGGCGCTGGTCCCAAAGGTGATGCTTGAAGACGGGGCGCTGCTCGTCTCACTGGGCGCTGCTTGTCTCGCGCGTCACGAGGCCGGGGCTGGGCCTGCTCGCGCTGCGCAAAGACGTTGCGCTCAACTCCGTCGCGCGACCCAACGCATATGCGAGGCTGCTGGTGCTAAATCCCGCCGCGCTGCGCAACGTCGCGGTGCTCGACGGCGCCGCGCTACTCAACGCCGCGGCGTGGCGCTCGACCTCGTCGCGCTGATCCCGTCGCGTTGCTCAGCGCTACGGCGCCCGACTCCGTCGCGCCACTCAACGTCGAGGCGATGGCCCCGCGAGCGCCGCCCAAGGTCGCGGTGCCCATTGCATTGCTCCTCTTCATCGTCGCGAGGCCGATGCTGGATCCAGTTGAACTGCTCGAAGACATTGCGCTCGACTGCGTCGCGCTGCGCAACGCATGTGCGAGGCTGCTGGTGCTTGATCCCGTCGTGCTGCGCAGAGACGCGGTGCTCGACTGCGCCGCGTTGCTTGGCGTCGCGGCGCTCGACTCCGTCGCGCTGGACCCCGCCGCGCTGCTTGACGTCGCGGTGCTCGACTCCGTCGGCCCCGTCGCGCTGCTCAACGCCGCGGCGCTCGACCCCGTCGCGCTGCCCAGCGTCGACGCGCTTGCCCCTGACGCGATGCTCAAAAAGGAATTGCTCGTTGCACTGCCTGTCTCACTCGCGAAGCCGCCGGCGCTGGATCCCGGCGCGACGATCAACGTCGCGGTGCTCGACTCAGTCGCGCTCGGCCCCGTCGCGCCACTCATATTCGCGGTGCTCGACTCTGTCGCGCTGGGCCCCGTCGCGCTCCTCAACGTCGCGGCGCTCGACTTCGCCCCGCCGCCATGCGCGGGCGCGCTGGCCCCTGGCGCGCTGCCCATGCACGCGCGCTCGTTGCACTGCCCGCGTCGCTCGTAGATAAGAGGCTGCTGGCGGTGAACCCCGTCGCGCTGATCAGCGTCGCGGCGCTCGGCTCCGCCGAGCCGCCCGCCACCGCGGTGCTCGACTAAATCGCGCTGGGCCCTGCTGCGCCGCTTTAACGTCGCGGCGCCCGACTCTGTCGCGCCGCTGAGCGCCGAGGCGCCGGTCCAAGACGCGATGCTCATAGACGCGGCGCTTGCTGCACTCCTCGACGCGCTCGTAGACGCGGCGCAACTGGCGCCGAACCCCGTCGCGCTGCTCGACGCCGCGGTGCTCGACGCCGTCGCGCTGCTCAAAGACGCGGCACTCGACTCCGTCGCGGTGGGCCCCGTCGCCCCGCTCACATCGCGTCGCTCGGCTCCGTCGCGCTGATCAGCGTCGAGGTTCAGGGCGCAGACTTGCTGCTCTAGAAACGCGGTGCTCGCTGCGCTGCTCGAATTGACCGAAAATGCGAAGCTGCCGGCGCTGGGCCGCGCCGCGCCGCTCAACGCGGCGGCGCTCGACTCCGTCGAGCCGGACCAGGTCGCGCTGCTCAGCGTCGCGGCGCTCGACTCCGTCGCGCCGGTCAACGTCGAGGCGCCGGCGACGGAAGCGCTGCTCAAAGACGAGGCGCTCGTTGCACTGCTCGCCTCACTCCCGACGCGAGGCTGCCGGCGCTGGATCCCGCCGCGCTGCTCAACGTCGCGGCCCGACCCCGTCGCGCTGCTCGGCATCGCGGCGCTCGACTCCGTCGCGCCGGATCCCGTCGCGCCGTTCTGATTCGCGGTGCTCGACTGCGTCGCGCTGCTCAGCGACGAGGCGCTGGGCCTGGAGACGCGGCTCACAGACTCAGCGCTCGTTGCGCCGCTCGCCTCGCTCGCCGACGCGAGGCCGCCGGCGCCGGGCCCCGCCGAGCTGGTCGACGTCGCGGTGCTCGACCCCTCTGCTCAACATCGCGGCGCTGGACGCCGTCGCGCTGGACTCCGCCGCGCCGATCGCGGTCGCGCTCGCGGTCGCTGGAACCGAGCCGCTGCTATTGAACGCGCTGCTTAACGAGGAATTCCCCCATCGCGGCGGTCAGCGACGCGGCGGCCGGGGCCGTTCGCGCCCCACTTGCGGGCATCAGAGACGAACTGCCGCCCGCTAAGAAGTCGCCGTCGGGAAGGCCAAGGGGGCGCGACGGTGGGCCAATCTGAGCCGACGGCCACCCCGATGCAAGGCCCGCCAGGCCCGTTGCCGGAGGCGGCGCTCGCGGCGGTTTTAAAGGCGGCGCTCGCCCCGCCCACGGTCGCAGGGTCGAGCTGGCGCTCGCCGCCGACGCGCTGGCATGCCCGTCGCGCAACTCAACGACGCGGCGCTCGAGGCGGCGCTCGTCCTGCCTGACGCGCGATAGGGTCGAGCCGGCGCTCGCTGGCGCGCCGCCCCCCAGAGCGCCGCCGGTGCCCAGCGAGGTTGTCGGGGGCGCATTGCTCGAGACAGCGCTCGGGGAAGTGATGTGCCCGGCCGCTGGCGCGAGGGTCGGACTGCCGCACGACGCCGTCTCCGTCTCGGCCCACTTCGTCGCGCAGGGTGGGTCGGGCACCTGGTGCTGCACGCAGCGCGCTCAGGATTGATGCTCTTTACGTTGGTAGTCGCAGCGACGCGCGCGAGCCCTGGCGGGCCGGCCACGACCGTGAGCAAGTTGCAGATAAGGCGCATGCTCGCCCTCATCGGTCTCTCGAACTTGCGCGCTGGCGCTGCACTCCGAAGGGCGCGGCCCATTGGCTTCAATCAGACATGGCAAAATTGCGCTGCAGAGCGCCCCGGGCGCCGCGCTCGTCTCCGTCGCGCCGGGCCACGTCGCGCAGCTCAGCGCCGCGGCGCTCGACTCAGTCGCGCCGCTCAGCATCGAGGCGCCGGCGCCGGACGCGCTGCTTAAGGACGCGATGCTCGTTGCACTGCTCGCCCCACTCTCGGCGCGAGGTTGCCGGCGCTGGATCCCGTCGCGCCGCTCAGCGCCACGGCCCGCGACACCGTCGCGCTGCTCGGCATCGCAGCGCTCGACTCCGTCGCGCTGTCTCCCGTCGCGCTGCTCGACGTCGCGGCGCTCGACTGCGTCGCGGCCCTCAGCGAAGTGCTGGCCCCGGACGGGCTGCCCGCAGACCTGGCGCTCGCTGCGCTGCTCGTCAAAATCGCCGATGCGAGGCCGCTGGCGCTCGGCCCCGCAGTGCCGACCAACGTCTCGGTGCTCGACCCCGTCGAGCTGCGCTCGACTCCGTCGCGCCGGGCCCCCGTCGCGCCGCTCGCGGTCGCTCTCGCGATCGTCGGAGTCGAGCCGCCGCCATTGAACCCAGTGCTCCGCGGGGCTCGGTCGAGTCAGCGACGCGGCGCTCGCGGCCGCTCGCGCCCCACTCATGCGCATGAGAGACGAGCTGCTGCTCGCTGACACGTCGCCGCCGGAAAAGGCCGAGGAGGTTTGGCGGGGGGCCGGGGAGGCAAAGGGGTTCAGACAAACTGGACCAATCCGAGCCGACGGCCCCCCTGACGCAAGGCCCGCTGGGCCCGTGCTCGCGGCGGTTTTAGAGGCGGCGCTCGCCCCGCTCGCGGCCGCGAGGGTCGAGCTGGCGCTCGCCGTCGACGCGCCGGCAAGCCCGTCGTTCAACTCAACAACGCGGAGCTCGAGGCTGTGCTCGCCCCGCTGACGCGCGATAGGGTCGATCTGGTGCTCGCTGGCGCGCCGCCCCCCAGAGCGCCGCCTGCGCCTGGCGCGGCGGTCGGGCGCGCATTGCTCGAGACAGCGCCTTGGGAAACGATGCGCCCAGCAGCGGGCGCGTGGGCCGGGCTGCTGCTCGACTCCGTCGCGGTCGACTTCGCCGTGCAGGGTGGGTCGGGCACCTGGTGCTTTACGCAGTGCACTCAGTTGGTGCATTGGTCGTCGCAGTAGCGGGCGCGAGCCCTAGCGAGCTGGCCGCGACCGTGGGAATGAAGCAGATAAGGCACATGCTCGCCCAATCGGTCATTTGGATTGCGCGCTGGCGCGGCGGCCCTAGGCATGCGGCCCGGTGGCTTTCGTGAACCGAGCGAGACCGTCGATCGCCCCGCGACGGCAGACATTGCAAACTTGCGCTGCAGAGCGCTCCGGGCGGCATGAGTGATCCCAGCACCCATGTCGCAGCTGCGCAGAGGAGGCGAGCTGGGGTCGCGGCAGAGGCGAACCCCGCCCTCGCGATCCTCGCCCTCGCCGCGCGGCATGTTGCCGGCACCCCCCACGACCTTTTTCGCGCTGAATGGCGCGCGCGGGGACGCGCCGATGCGCTCGCGCGGGGCGCCCCCTGCGTCGCCCCCCGCTATGGCGGGAAGGAGTGGCCCGTCCAGGGCTCGCCGCCCGCATCGGCAATTGCGGAGCTCGTTCAAGCGCTTCCGCTGGCGAGCGCTGAGCTTCAAGGATTCCGTGAGCTCTGTCGGTACCCCAATCACTTCTGCTTTGGTGTGGGCAGGGCGGCGGTGTTGCCATTGGTCAAGTGGACTACCCAATACTAGTTCTAGTCCCCCGTGCGTCCTATGACTATGCCATGTTGGCCGCTGATAGGGTTCGCAACCTGACTGGCGACCGCGACCCCGGTGCCTGTCTGGATGCACGGAGGCACGGGGACCAGGACAGGGCACGTGCGGTCGGATAACGCTTCAGTCCTGGTGGGCCTAGCGAGCTGCCGCGCCGCGGGTGTCTCTGTGGCCGCGCGCCTAGGCTCTCGCTCAGATCCACCCTGGTGGTTGTGCTCGTAGGGTTTGGCGGTTGCTGCAGCGGTTTACTCCAGGGCCTGTCGGGGCGGCTACCCCTTCCGATGTAACGGGGGGTAGATGACCGCGGAGTTCCACGGGCCCCGTCCGGTGCTGCAGTCGTTGGTGCTCATGCTGGCATCGGAAATTGACGCGCGGGCCCTGGCAAGGGCAACACAGCCGTAGTTTTTTACAGGAAAGCCGTCAGGTTTGTGTTCAGGCTGATTTGCTCGGGGTGCTGCGAAGCGAAACCTTTGTCAAGCTGGTGGATTGGTCTAAGGCATTTTTCTGCGCGCAGGAGAAGCGCAGCATGGCGTAGTTGATCTCCCCGCGCAATCTCATTAGCTCCATCCTGAACTTTCGTTGGTCAGAACGGTGCCGCTGGCAAGTGGTGCCGGGAGCAACTTGGCATTTGCGAGCGAATTCGTTGCATGCAGCGGCTGCTCGGGCGACGCAGCCCCTTTTTTGGAGTGCTGCGGGGCAGGCTTCCTTCCGACTGAGGTTGATATCCCGTCGAGTTGCGAGGGTCGCCCTTTGGCGGCCCTTACCTTGTGGCTCGGGCTGCCGAGGTGCAGGGGCCGCACGGCGAGGACCTTTCGGAGCATGGCGCGCGCGGTAACAAGAACTGGCGTTACATACGGATCCTAACCGCGCTGTGTGGCGCGGTTCCATCTGTCCCGGGCGGAAGCGGATGCGGGGGGTAATTACGCGTCGCGGCTCGCCCTGCGCACTGCGGGTCAGAGTCAGCGAAGGGCAAAGTGAAGAAAACATATTTTCTGGGAAGAATATTGGCATGGGCCAAATCTTTCCATCTGACTTGCCTGGGAAAAACAAAGAGAGCATCGAGTTTGATAAGAATACGACCCTGAATACGGAAAATCAGCGAGATTGAGCTCACCTTTTCCTGACCCCCGAAAGGCTGACCCCCAAATAGCAGGCGAAGAAACAAATGCTCTCCAGCCAAGACAAGATAGAGAGAGAGAGAGAGAAAACAAATAACAATAAAAAAGAGAGAGAGTTCCTCACCCTGTCCAGGGGGCGACGAGACGTGGTGTGTGTGTGTGTGCTCCGACGCCGGCGGGGCGTGCTGTCCCTCTCTGGGTCATGATGGCGCCCTGGGCCAGTTCGTGCCCTCGCCCTCCCTCTGGGGGAAGAAAGAGAGAGAGAGAGAGAGAAACAAAAAAAACAATACAATAAAGAAACAAACCAAACATAAGAGACAGAGAGAGAGAGAGAGAGAGAAAAGAGAGAGAGAGAGAGAACAGAAAAAAAAACATAGAAAGCATAAGAGACATAAGAGACAGAGAGAGAGAGAGAGAGAGCGAGACATAGAAGAAAGAGAGAGAGAGAGAGAGAGAGAAGTGGATGAGGAGCAGGTGGCGGACGAGAGGTGATGGCGGACGAGGAGGGGGGGGGAGGAGGCGGAGGAGGCGGCAGGCCTGCGCTCCCCCCCCCCCCCCCAGCGCGGCCCCTCCGCCGACCGTGTCTCCGGCTTCGAGCGTGTACTCGTCGCCGCGCCTCCACTCGCCGCTGGGCCAGCCAGCCGCGGCGGGCGGGGGCGATGCCTCCACAATGACCTGCGCGGGTCGACGGTGGGGGGGAGGGTCGATTAAAGGAGGCAACTACTGGGAGGTCTTCGTCGGAAGGACTAGGGAGGATGAAGCCCCATTTGGGGGGGCTGCGACGCCGGAGTGGGCCTCGGATTAAGCGGGATTTGACCAGATCAAGCGGGCTTCAGCGGGATTAAGCCGGATTAGGCGGGACTAAGCGGGACTTCGGACCAGGGCAAAACCAGAATTTGACCTCCTAGGAGTTGCATCCGAAGGGCGACGGCGATCGATGAGTGCCCCTCTGTCCCTCCACAAGTGGCGCTGACGGCCTCCCGAGGACAGGGCCCGGCATGGCTGCAGCTTCTGCCTGTGCCAGGGGGTGATCTGTGCACCTTGCCTGTCCCCGCGAGGGCGTCGGCAGTCCTAGGGGGGCACTCGGGTCGCGGTGTGCAAACGCTCGGGAGGTGCTGAAGATGTTCCCGAGAGAAGCGCAGTCCCCCGATACCCAGGGTCCCACAGCAGGACGAAAACTCGAACCAAGAAGTATGATCGAACACGCTGCTAATCGTCGCAGGTGGCGTTGCTCAGATCAGCCTCCAGCGGCGCAACCGCGCGGCCGCTCAAATGGACAGTCGCAGGCGGCGCCCCCCGTCCCATAGCGCCGACCTCTACGACGGCAACTTCGGGGCCCACTTCCCCCCAGAGCTGCAGTAATCGACGCAGGGGGACCGCGCTCCAGTCAGGGTGATTCGAGCACGCGTGCGGTTCTGTCATTCCCGAAGTATTCACGGTCAGCGAGTGGCGGCGGGCGACAGGAATGGGGGGCTGTAGTGATGCGTGCGTGCTTGGAGCCCACGCTCCAACACTCCTAGCGAGCACAAGCGGCTCGGCTGGCGCATACGTGCTGGCATGACGTGCATACGGGGCGACACACCAAATCACCAAATCACCAGTCCCGAGGCCATACCTGGCGCCCCTGGGGGCGCCTCAACTGAGGGCCACTTCTGGAAGCACCCGGGACCAGCATTGGGGAAGCAGGGCAGGAGCTCGCCGCGGGGTCAAAGGTGCCCCGACTTCACCACGACCCCTTCTTGACGGCAACGACGAAGACGCTCGGGAGCTGAGGGCGGCAGCGCGCCAGGCAACGCTGGGGCGGCGCACGAGCCGACCAGCCAAAAGGCAAGCCCAGACACCAAAGCAGCGGCGAGGGGAGAGCGGGCAGGAGCCTGCCCGGACTTCACCACGAGGAACGCGTCCCGCGGCTCGCCCTGGACGAAGACCGAGGCCCCGCGGTCCACGGACCGTATCTCGAACCCTGCGCGCGGGTACCCCGCTCCACAAGCCTTCGGGCGTCATCTTCAGCGACATCGGTCCCGATGCTAGACTGTTAGAGAGAATTGGCTATACACGACTCTGCGTTGAGGTCTCAGACTGTCGGGGCCTCCGCCACAACCTCGCTGGCCCCGAGTTCGATAGTATTGAACAACCGATTTGGAAATCAACACACCGCTTAGCTGCTGGATGGAGAATCACCGCGGTTGGAGAATGAACACGCCTGCCAGGATGGGGAACCACCGCGACTGCGCACAACAAACGCAACTGCAGCATGGCCAGGGCAAGAAAGGCGCGCGGGGAGCCTTACGTAGCCCTGGTGCTCAAAACCGATCCTCATTCTCATTATCCTCCTCTTCCTCGGCAGAAATGCGACCGCCATCTTGGGCAAGGATTTTGCGCCGTCTACCGTGGGCCGCAGGACCCAGAATGAGCCTCCAGAGGCCCAGACCTGAAACAAATATCTTGGCGAAGGACCTAACAACCATGATTATGCAGTTGCGAGTACCGTCGTTTTGAGTATCGCCTTCGGTGGATCTCCTTTGAGGGCCACGACGCGTGTGCATGGTGTGCCGAAATCGGGCGGGGCGGCCATGCGGGCGCTGCCACTGGGGCTTTAGATGGGGCCACGAAGCGTGTGAGGGGCGTGCCGACATTGGGAAGGGCCGCTTGCAGTGCAGCTCCACATGGGGCCACGAAACGTGTTGGGGAGGTGCCGAAATGGGTTGAGCGACCACATGTGGACACCGCCACTGGGGCCTTCGGTGGAGCTTCCTATGGGGCCACGAAGCGTATGAGGGGTGTGCCGAAATGGGCGGGGCGGCCGCCTGTGAACACTGCCACTGGGGACTTCGGTGGAGCTCCCTATGGGGCCACGAAACGTGTGAGGATGTGCCGACACAGTTGGGCGGCCGCATGCAAACCTCGCCACTGGGGCCTCCGGTGGAGCTCCCTCTGGGGCCACGAAGCGCGTGAAGGCTGTGCCGAAACAGGGGCATGCGGAAGGCAGAGGACAGGAGGGGGAGGAGGGAGGAGGAGTGGAAGGCAGCAGGAGGGACGAATACGTGGGCTCTGTCTCTTCAAAACGAGGAACAACGCAAAAACTGGCAGTCATGATTTCCTGAGCATGGGAAAAGACAAGCGCCGACACCGCTCCACGCGCATGAAAAACTGGCCGTCATGATTTCCTGAGGTCGGGAAAGGACAGGCGTCGACACCACTCCACGCGCATGCGGGGAGCCCCTTCTGCAGAAGGCAAGCCTTGTCGACCCAACGCCGTCGCGGATCGTGAGGACGTCGCTTCGCAACCTTCCAAGGTGAGTTCTGGGTGCCAGCAGAAAGCCTTTTGTATACTCCCGTTCCTCGAAGGACGCCCGAGGTCTGGGCCGTCTGGCCAGAAGCCAGGACAGACAGGAGCGCTCGGGAAGGTGCTGGGCTTCCCATGGAAGGCTCTGCGGGGCGCGGCTGCCAGAGAGCGCCCCCCGGTGGCCCGAAGGCCTCCAGCCAGAGCAGGCCTCCCGAGGGCCACCGAGCACCTCTGGAGGCTCCGGAGGCCTCCCCCCCAACCCGTGGCCGATGGCACCGCGGCAGCCTGGCGCCCCCGGTCCTCCCGATCCCGTCCCTGCCCTGCCCCAAGCAGGAGGAGGAGGGGGAAGAGGAGGGAGGAGGAGGAAGAGGAGGAGGAGGAGGAGGAGGAGGAGGAGGAGGGAGGAGGAGGAGGAGGAGGGAGGAGGGGAGGGACGAGGGAGGGGGGGAGGGGGGGTGGGGGGGGAGGGGGGAGGGGGAGGGGGAGGAGGGAGGAGGAGGAGGAGGAGGGGGAGGAGGAGGAGGGGGAGGAGGAGGAGGGGAGGAGAGAGGAGGAGGACGAGGAAGCGGAGGTGAGAGAGAAAGGGTGCAGGGGAGAAGGAAAAACGGAAGATGTGTGTGCTCCCTCTGTGGACGCCGAGCCGGGCCGAGGCCCGCTCGGGTGAACGTGGAGGGGGAAGGCAGTGAGCGGGGGAGCGACCGAGGGCTGCAGGAGAGTTGCCCTAAAGGGGCCCTCAAGGGCCCCTCCTCCTCCCCCTCCCCCTCCTCCTCCTCCTCCTCCTCCTCCTCCTCCTCCTCCTCCTCCTCCTGCTCCTCCCTCTTCCTCCTCCGCCTCCTCCTCCTCCTCCTCCTCCTCCTCCCTGCCCCCTCCTCTCCTCCTCCTCCTCCTCGTCCTCCTCCTCCTCCTCCTCCTCCTCCTCCTCCTCCCTCCTCCTCCTCCTCCTCCCCTCCTCCTCCTCCTCCTCCTCCTCCTCCTCCTCCTCCTCCTCCTCCTCCTCCTCCTCCTCCTACTCCTCCTCCTCCTCCCTCCTCCTCCTCCTCCTCCTCCCTCCTCCTCCGCCTTCTTCTCCTCCGCCTCCTCCGCCTCCTCCTCCTCCTCCTCCTCCTCCTCCTCCTCCTCCTCCTCCTCCCCCTTCCCCTCCCCCCAGACTGCCACCGCGGCCCCGAAAGATACGCCCCTCTTCACCGCCCCGGTTCTCCACGCCTGCGCGTGCAACTTGTAATCATCTGCAACACATTTCCCATGCATGCGCATCCGCTCTCCCGAAGCAGCGCCGATCGCACCCTCTTCTGCCCAAGTGCGCACCCCTCTGGAGGCCTGGCTCCGCGGCGGCGGCGTCTATTTCCCCCCCCGTCGCCGTCCGCCCGATGGGGAGCCCTTTTCAGGGACCCCTAAACGGGGGCACAGACATACGGGGGCTCAGGCTTTTCCATACGCCCCCGTTTGCTGTGCTCCCGCCTACGGAGCCCAGGGACCCCTCAACGGGGGCATAGCCAAACGTGGACACCGGCGCTCCTGTGACCCCGTCTCTGGCGCCCTGACCCTTTTGTTGCATCGCTCCTCCGCCGCCCCCTCCCCGCCGCGTGGCCCCAGAGCAGGCGGGGGCGATCGCGCGGCCCTCGAGGAGGAACTGCAGGCACTCGTCGTCGTCCAGCTCCGCGAGCATGCGGGTCTGGCCCAGCAAGGGCACCTCCACGCCTGCCGGAGCAACGGCCTCTTACTCCTTGTGCTCTCCTCCTCCTCCTCCTCTTCCTCCTCCTCCTCCTGTCGCTACTGGCCGTCGTCGTCGTTAGTGGCTGCCTGCTTCTCCCTGCTCCTGGACCTCGTGCCCCCACGCGGGCGCGCGCGAGGCCAACCTAGAACCCTGGAGCTCTGTCACTGCTCCTCCCTCTGGCTCAGTACTCGCCCCCTCGTCTTCCCTGCACTCCCCTCCTCCTCCTCCTCCTCCTCCTCCTCCTCCTCCTCCTCCTCCTCAAGCTCCTCCTCCGACTGGAGGGGGAGAAAGGCTCGGCTCCTCTTGAACAACCGCACCTGGCCTCGAGAGGAGAGAGCAAGCTATGTGTGTGTGTGTGTGAGTGTGCGTGTGTGTCTCTCTGTGCGTGTGCGCACCAGGCGGCAACGGGCCGCACCGTCTGCCTGCGCAGCTCATGCGCACCAGACGCGCTGATGCATTGTTCCCAGCGCATGCGTAATTAACGTACCCCCTCCTCCTCCTCCTCCTCCTCTTCCTCCTCCTCCGACTCCTCCTCCTCCTCTTCCTCCTCCTCTTTCTGCTCCTGTTGTTGTTGCTGCTGCTGTTGCTGTTGTTGTTGTTGGTGGTGGTGGTGGTGTTGTGGTTCTTGTTCATATGGCATGGAAATACCATCCCCATCGCCATTGCCAGCACTGCAACCGTCGTCGTCGTCGTCGTCCTCATGTCTCGACGGCCCCAGGCAAAAGCCACACAGAAAGACATCAGCTAAACACTTTGTTGAAGACGATGGAGCTACGAGGAGCAGGACCAGGTTAGCTCGAGAAAGAGCGGGATGAGAGATGAGAAGGGGGAAGGAACAGGGGTGAGGAGGGTGCGAAGGGGAGATGGGGGAGGGAAGGAAACGGAGGGGGGGAGCGGGGAAAGGGAGGTGGTACTGGGAGGGACACGCCAGTATGGAGTGGACGGCTTGTAGCGGGGGTCGGGGGGACAGGGAAAAGGGAGGGCGGAGGAGGATGAGCTGCAGCAGCAGCTCGAGCAGGAGTAGCAGCACAATGACGAGGCAGTAGACCAGAGCGAGAGCGAGAGAAAGAGAGAAAGCGAGAGAGAGAGAGAGAGAGACACCAGTACCGAGAGGAAGAGGGGGAGAGACGGGGGCGAGGAGGGCACCCCCTCCTCATCCGCCACGGACTCACACGGGCAGTTCTCTTTGGCCAGGTTGCCACCAGGAGGTGCAATCTGACGGAAGAGCACTGCCGCCCGCACTGCTTCCTTCGAGACGCCGGCCGTTTGGGGAGAGGCCGGGGGGGGGTGCGAGCGGGCAGTGCCGTTCGCCCCGCCGCCGCCCCCAACCGCCTCCCCCCACTGGGCGGGGGCGCCGCCGCCGCCACCGCCGCTGTGCTGCCCGCCCCGCCGCCGCCGCCGCCGCCGCCGCCCTCCCACCCTGTGCGGGCAACGGCGGCGCGCCCCCAGCGCGTATGCAGGGGCTGCCCGGCGCGGGCGTCACGGAACACTCTTGTCGCCTCCGGGCTGGGGGCGAGGGTCAGGAGACGCGCGCGCGCACTCCCACTCCCCTCCTCGATGTTCCGTGTTGCGGGCGGGCCTGTCGACAGGACTGGCGCCAGCGACCCTTGTCGTCCTCCTCCCCCCTCCTCCTCAGAGCTCAGAGCTGGTGGCATTAGGGTCTGTCGAAGGGAAGGGTGGGAGGAGGGAGATATGAGGAGGGACGACCATGGGACAGGTGGGGAGAGTGAGGAGGGAAGAGGGAGGGAGGAGGGAGGACGGCTGGGACATTAGGAAGACAGGGGGAGGGACGAGGGAGACAACGAGGGAACTTGGAGGGAGCAGTGGACGGAAGAGGCGGAGGGGAAAGAGAGGGAAGGAGGTGGGCGGACGATTTGGTTTTCGACGTTGATTCAGCTTGGAGCCTATCAGCAGAGGCAGGCAAGCAGCTCGCATAAGATTCGCGGGAGTACCAAAAGCTGGCGGACACAAGCGTTGACAGCACAGTACAACACGAAGTGGAAGGTACAATACAAACGAAACAATGTAGCGAGCAACCGCGTGGAACAACCAGCCTCCTGCAGTCGTTCGTTGTACCTAGGTGGGAGTCATCTTCGACCGAACGCAGCACAAACGAGACGACGGCGGAAACAGAGCGGCGATCGATGCTCTTGGGGAGAAGGCGCTCGGGTGCTAGTCCATAAGGACAAGCAGTAACAGGCTGAGAAGAAAACATGCTTGAGTACCACAGTGCGTATCGACAAACGACTCTTTTGCGTTGAGTAGCTGAGCGGGCGAGCTATATCCAGACTTGCCACGATACGCAGGAACACGGCGCGGACAAACGGCGGCGAGTTGCACGCTATCCATTTCAATTTCCATATCCATGTCATTTTTTCACACATGTATATATATATGGTAGCCCCCCCCCACATGATCATACATGTTCGTCTTATTCTTGATCGTCGTCGCTCCTCCTCCTCCTCCTCCTCCTCCTCCTCCTCCTCGCGGCGCTCTCGGTGCAAGGAAACGCTGTGTATTTTTGGTTTTTGTGGTTTTTTTGGTCTGTGAAGCCACGAAACACTGTGTATTTTTGGTTTTTTTGGTTTTTTTGGTTTTGAGAGGCAGAGAGAGGGGCGCTGGGAGGGCGACCGCGGCGAGCATGGGGGCTTGCAAAACCAAAAAAACAAAAAAAACCAAAAATACACAGTGTTTCGTGGCTTCACAAACCAAAAAAACCAAACAAACCAAAAATACACAGCGTTTCCTTGCATCGGGGGCGCCAAACACTGTGCATGCTTGCTTTCTTTCTTGATTCGGGAGGCACAGAGACAGGTGCTGGGAGGGAGTAGTAGTAGTAGTAGTACTAGTAGTAGTAGTAGTAGTGGTACTAGTAGTAGTAGTAGTAGTAGTAGTAATAGTAGTCGTCGTCGTCGTCGTATTAACAGTATTTGTAGTAGAAGTAGTAGTAGTCGTAGTAGGAGTAGTAGTAGTAGTAGTAGTCGTCGTAGTAGTAGTAGTAGTAGTAGTAGTAGTCGTAGTCGTAGTAGTATAGTAGTAGTAGTAGTAGTAGTAGTAGTAGTAGTAGTAGTAGTAGTAATAGTAGAAGAAGTAGACGTAGTAGTAGTAGTAGTAGTAGTAGTCGTAGTAGTTGTAGTTGTAGTTGTAGTTGTAGTGGTAGTAGTTGTAGTAGTTGTAGTTGTAGTAGTAGTAGTAGCAGTTCGTCTTATTCTTGATCGTCGTCGCTCCTCCTCCTCCTCCTCCTCCTCCTCCTCCTCGCGGCGCTCTCGGTGCAAGGAAACGCTGTGTATTTTTGGTTTTTGTGGTTTTTTTGGTCTGTGAAGCCACGAAACACTGTGTATTTTTGGTTTTTTTGGTTTTTTTGGTTTTGAGAGGCAGAGAGAGGGGCGCTGGGAGGGCGACCGCGGCGAGCATGGGGGCTTGCAAAACCAAAAAAACCAAAAAAAACAAAAATACACAGTGTTTCGTGGCTTCACAAACCAAAAAAACCAAACAAACCAAAAATACACAGCGTTTCCTTGCATCGGGGGCGCCAAACACTGTGCATGCTTGCTTTCTTTCTTGATTCGGGAGGCACAGAGACAGGTGCTGGGAGGGAGTAGTAGTAGTAGTAGTACTAGTAGTAGTAGTAGTGGTACTAGTAGTAGTAGTAGTAGTAGTAGTATAATAGTAGTCGTCGTCGTCGTCGTATTAACAGTATTTGTAGTGAAGTAGTAGTAGTGTAGTAGATAGTAGTGTAGTAGTAGTCGTAGTAGTAGTAGTAGTAGTAGTCGTAGTCGTAGTCGTAGTAGTAGTAGTATAGTAGTAGTAGTAGTAGTAGTAGTATAGTAGAAGAAGTAGTAGACGTAGTAGTAGTAGTAGTAGTAGTAGTCGTAGTAGTTGTAGTTGTAGTTGTAGTTGTAGTGGTAGTAGTTGTAGTAGTTGTAGTTGTAGTAGTAGTAGTAGCAGTTCGTCTTATTCTTGATCGTCGTCGCTCCTCCTCCTCCTCCTCCTCCTCCTCCTCCTCCTCCTCGCGGCGCTCTCGGTGCAAGGAAACGCTGTGTATTTTTGGTTTTTGTGGTTTTTTTGGTCTGTGAAGCCACGAAACACTGTGTATTTTTGGTTTTTTTGGTTTTTTTGGTTTTGAGAGGCAGAGAGAGGGGCGCTGGGAGGGCGACCGCGGCGAGCATGGGGGCTTGCAAAACCAAAAAAACCCAAAAAACCAAAAATACACAGTGTTTCGTGGCTTCACAAACCAAAAAAACCAAACAAACCAAAAATACACAGCGTTTCCTTGCATCGGGGGCGCCAAACACTGTGCATGCTTGCTTTCTTTCTTGATTCGGGAGGCACAGAGACAGGTGCTGGGAGGGAGTAGTAGTAGTAGTAGTACTAGTAGTAGTAGTAGTAGTGGTACTAGTAGTAGTAGTAGTAGTAGTAGTAATAGTAGTCGTCGTCGTCGTCGTATTAACAGTATTTGTAGTAGAAGTAGTAGTAGTCGTAGTAGGAGTAGTAGTAGTAGTAGTAGTCGTCGTAGTAGTAGTAGTAGTAGTAGTCGTAGTCGTAGTCGTAGTAGTTAGTAATAGTAGTAGTCGTCGTATTGTTTAATTGTGGAGGGGGGAGGGGGGAGGAGGGAGGGAGGAGGGAGGCGGGAGGAAGGAGGAGGGAGGAGGAGGAGGAGGAGGAGGAGGATGAGGAAGAGCGACGGAGAGCGGGGAGCAGATGAGGGAGGGGAGAATATGTATGATCATGTGGGGGGGGGCAAGCATATATATATATGTAGAATACTGTAATATGTGTGGTGCAATACATGTGGAATAATGCAAATGGTACAACCTAGGTCGTGCAATACATGTTGTGCCACTTGTGTGGGGGCCATCTCCGTGGTGCGGTCAACGCAGCCCAGTTAATTTCTGTTCGCAGTGAGTTGTCCACTCCACTGCTCGCGCAAACATCCCACCCACCCATCCCGCTACTGGGTCTGCGAAACCCTTTGCGCAGGCGATTGTAATGAGCGCTTGGCGTTGGCTGGTGCGTCTCTGCGGCCGCGCTTGCCTGGGCGCGCGCGAGCGGCGGCCAACTAGTTCGGCGCGACCGACGGGGTCGCGGCAGCGCTCACCGCCGGGCACTTCCCAGCGGGCGCCTCCGCGCGGGTCGGCGACATGGGCGGGCGCGGTATCATGGCAACGTCGACAACGGTAGACGCGATAATGATAGTAGCGAAGGCGACAACGACGACGGCGCGGCCAGCGACGGCGCCGATGCTGATTGCGCCGGCGACGATGACGGCGTCCCTGCGTCGTCGACGAAGGTTTTGGAAGGAGTTCGACGCGCGCGCGGCCGAGGTGCAAGAGCGGCTCGCACGGTGCCATTTGACGCACCCCCCCCGCAGGCGCAAGGGGCGGCGCAAGAGGTCCGTTTGGTAGAATTCCATGGACACTTTGAAAGACCGATTGTTTTCATGGCGATTCGCAAGAGAGCGAGCGCCAGCTTATAACAAATGATTGTTGTTTCGCGTTGCTGCGAAACCGTATTTTTCATTTTGTTTCGGGGCACTCGGTTTTGCAATCAATGCGAGGTTTGAATTTTTTGTTGCAGGATTTCGGCGCGTGCGCGACGGCACGCGCGCGCACTTCGCCGCATTTTCTCCTGGGGATGCACGCGGCAGCACGCGCGCAAGGGCGCTCGAGCGATTCCGACGCGCGCGAGTGGCCCGTTTGGTAACATTTCATGAACGCGTTGGGGAACCTATGGCTTCTTTAGCATTCGCAGGCGGTAGCACAAGTCTACTTTTTCTTTTAACAAAAAACCAGCGTTGCGACACCATTCCTTGCTATGTTTGTTGGACACTCGCTTTTTTAAATCCTGGCGAAAACCTAAGTATCTGTAAGATTCTGGCACGCGCGCACGACTACGCCCGCACGTGCACAACGTCTCATTTGTTGCTGGGGGCATTTGGAAACTTATGAGTTGTGGCAAACGAATGCGCGCGCGCACAATATTTCTCCAGCGGGTAAATGGGGGGGGTCGATGCCAGTTGAGCTGGGACGATCCGAATTCATTTTTAGGATGAGCACTGCGATGCAGAAAAAGCGGATAACCCCCGTCAGGGGGGGTAGATGCGAAATCTCCGGTGGAAAAGAAAGCTGACTTTGACGCGCCAGTTGGCAAATGCCACGCGCTTGCAAACATCCCGCCCGCACGCCCGCAAGTTGGTCTGCAAAACCCACGCGGCGGCACTCGCGATGGGTGCTGGGCAGTGGCTGGTGCATTTCCGCGGCCGCGCTAGCCCGCGCATGCTGGCGCGCGCAGCGTCCAGCTACTTTGGCGCGAGCGACGCGGCCGCGGTGGCGCCGACCGCCGGGCACTTCCCAGCGGACGCCCCAATGCGAGTCGGCGACTTGGGCGGGCGCGGTATCGCGGCGACGCCGACAGCGGTTGACGCGATTATGAGAGTAGCGCCGATGGCGACGACGGTGGCGACGACGACGGCAAGGCCGATGACAGCGCCGACCACGCCAGCCGACAACGATGACGATGTCCTCGCGTCGGCGACGAAGCTCTTGGAAGGAATTCGACATGCGCGCGCGCGCCCAACGCGCTCGAGTGGCCCGCGCGGCATCATGCGACGCGGGCCGCGCCCCCTCACCCCCCGCCCCCAAGCGCGAACGCAAGGGCGCTCGAATGAGATCGACGCGCGGCGCGAGAAGCCCGTTTGGCAGAATTCGATGACAATATTGGGAAACCATTGGTTTTCTTAAGAAACCGCAAGACCGCGAGCGCAGGCACGTTCGAAAACGGATGTTGCAAAACCATGTAACGTCATGTGTGTTCGGGGCACTCGCTTTGAAAATCCTTGCGAAACCTACGGATGTCGGCACGCGCGCGCGCGAAACGCGCGAGCGCGCGTCGCCCCATCTGTCGCAAGGGATTCTCGCGGCAGCGCGAGCGCCGGGGCGCCCGAGCGATTCCGACGCGCGCGCGAGAGGCCCGCTTGGTAGCATTTTATGAGCACGTTGAGAAAAGAAAAAAACGATTGTTGTCTAAAGCATTCGCAAGAGCGCGAGCGCAAGTTCTTCTCCCCCCCGAAAATCATCGTTGCAACACCGTGTGCTTTTAATGTTTGTTGGACATCGATTTTGACACCCCTGTGAAACTTAAGGTTCTTGAAAGATTCCGGCTTGCGCGCGCGACGACGCGCGCGCGCATTTCGTCCCATCAGTCGCAAGGGACTCTTGAAAACTGATGACTTTGAATGAGCGAGTGCGCGCCCATAATTTCTTGCAGGGGATGAGGGTGGGGGAACTCTGGCCTGGCTGGGATGGCATGAGCTCATTTTCAGGATGGACGATGAGCAAACTCACGCGCACATTGCAATGCGAAAAAGTGCCTCGTTCACCCCGTCGTGGGGGGGGGGTTCTGAGACCGTCTTGGAGATACTTGGGGGCGATGCTGGGCGTTTCGGGAGTCTCTTGAGCCGTCGTGAAGCCATCCGAGGCCGTCTTGAAGCGCTCTTGGGCCGCGATGGAACCGTATTGGACCTCTTTGGGGCCGTCTTGGGGGCCTTTTGGGCGCCCAGGGTGATCGAAATTTGTTCGGTGGGGGGGGGTCCCGGCCCAATAACACGTACACAGTTTTATATTATTTGTATATATATACGTATAATATCTGTACGTGTGTATATATATATATATATATATATTATACATATATATATAGTTACACATGCATGAACACATTCCTTATAGTTATGTACCTATGAATCTGTATACCTGACATACTGTTTACATGCACATATACATATATCCATTTATATGTGTGTATATAGATCCTCGCCACCTGCTTCTCTGTTCAAAGAAGGGGGTCGTCCTGACGCCGAACGTCGCCTCCGCCACGGAAGGCATCGATCGCCCCTGGCTCAGGCGCGGCGGAGCGGGCCTGTCCTGGCGCAGCCACGCTGCTGGTGGCGGAGGTGCCCGCGGGGGGGCATCGATTTGCTCATCCTGCTGCCAGTGCTGCTGCTGCTGTCACTGCTGGGGCTACTGCTGCTACTGCTACTGCTACTGCTGCTGCTGCTGCTGCTGCACCTGCCGCTGCGCTGCTCCGCCGTTGCTACCGCTGCTGCGCCTGGTGCCAGCGCTGCTGCGATTGCTGGTTTGCGCGCTGCTACTTGTGCTGCTTGCATGCTCCACCGATATGTACTCGGATGCTGTCTCTGGTGTCGCGGCTGCAGCAAGGGCACATGTCACCTGTTAAACTATTGTTGCAACTACTGCCTTTCTGCTGTTGTCGACGCTCTTGCTACTACTGGTGCTCCCCTGCTGCTGATCTCATTACTGGGCTGGGCTGGGATGTGCTCGGCATTGATGTTGGCTTTGGAAAGTTGCTGGCAACAATGCAATGCCACCACTCTGGCGTGAGAGTGCGGCCGACGCTGCAACAGGAACTCCAGGGGTCCGCCCTGGGTTGGGGATGCAGTGCACGTTGGATGAGGAAATCTCACGCCCTGCTGGACATGCGGCTGGCCATGAAGCGAGAGCACCACACCTGACTGGAAAGATATGGGAACACCGCTCCAAGCTGGGAATGTGGCTGGCGCTGAAGCGAAGGCTGACTTCTGCGAGAGGGGTACGGCGGGCGCTGGGGGCGAACGCACGAATCCCAGCCTTGATCATGCACTTCAGCGCACCACGCCCGTGGATGGTGGTTGAGTGCACACCTCGGGGTACCACTCTCGTAGAAGGCTGCCCAGAAAACGCGGGAGCGTGTGAGGGGTTGGCACAGACGCGCTGTCAAGATTTAAATCGTGAGGACCCCCCGCTCAAGCGACACAAGCTGAAGACGGTAACCCCATGAAAAAAACTATTTACTCTCTTTAGGAGGGGAGAGGACAGGGGGAGGAACGCGACAACCATACCTCACGAAAACGCGGCTGGCATTGCAGTTTAAAACCCGGTGGTCGCCAAACAAACCAGGAACGCCACGCAAACTAAGCAAACTGCCTTGGATCAGAATGCTGCCGTAATGATGCAGCCCCGACCACTTTTGGGGGTTTGATATTTTTCTCCGCCTGCTCTGCCTGCTCCCTGCGTCAACCCAGCTGGTATTTGCACTAGGTCGCCCGGACGCCGCATGCCTGGGGAGAGGAGGGTCGGCTACAATCCAGCGATGCAGCCACATTGGAATTCAGCTCCCATGCGTCCTCGTCCCTCGTCACGCATCTCCCTTTCGACGTCGTCGTCCTCTGCCTTTCTTTTGAACTGATGCAATCCTATCTCGGGTCGACGTCGGGCTGCGCGACTATCGAAAGCCACTTCGTTTTGCCTTGGCGGTTGACTCGCTTCGTCGCTAGACCATCGCCCCCGCGGGTAAAAGTGATGGGGGCGGGGAGGAAGGTCATCGACGAACTCGCCGCAGATGCCGATGTCGTCGAAACAATGCGGATGGGTCATGAAACCGCGAATGGGTCGCAGGGTGGGTCGTGGGTGGGTCGACGGTGGGTCGCGGGGTGGGTCGCAAGGTGGGTCACAGGTGGGTCGCGGGCGGGTGGCGCGTGGGTCGCAAGGTGGGTCGCGGGCGGGCCGCGGGCGAGACGACGAACAACCAAAACAACAATCCGCACCGCGGAACCGCTTTTCACCTGCGCACCCAGAGACGTTGTAGGATCGCTCGGCCCCCTCACTCTGATGCATCCGCGCTCTGACCAAGCAGAAGTGTTGCACATGAACATATATACTAGAACCACACGCGCGCTACGCGCGCTTGGTCTCTAGCCGACTGCGCAGTCGTTGTCAGTGGACCTTGCGCTAATCCACGAACGCCTAGATACCAAAAGAGAGGTCCCCCAGGCAAAGGCCGCTCTTGGCGTGTGGGAATGCTGGGCCTTCTGGGGGATAATTAGCTTCGGGTTCTGTGGGCGGTCGAAGAGCCGTGCGAGATCGACGTGCGACGCGTCGGGAGGCTCCGAGTGTTTCCCAGACTGCGCATGTAACGTGACTGCCGCGGTGGCCGAAGCGGGTCCCAGGGGCTCCAGGCCGCCACGCCGTCAAGCCGCCGCCGCCGCCGCCGCCCCCGCGACCGCCGCCGCCTCAGCCGCCGCCGCCGTCGTGATGATCGTCGCGTTGGTCGTCGTAGTGGTCGTGGTGGTGGCGGTCGTCGTCTGTGGACGTGGTCGGACAACTACGAATTCCAAGGTGCTTTGCGCTTTACCGGGGCCTCCGGAGGCCTCCAGACTCTGGAGATCTGCGGAGGCCGTCGGCCGTCGTCGATCGATCGTCGTCGTTGCGGTCGTCGTTTGACCTCTGGAGGCCGCCGGGGCTCCTCGTCGTCACTGTCCTCGTCGCCGTGGTCGTCGTGGTTGTGGTCGTGGTCGTCGTTGACGCTGCCAACGTTGTCGCAGTCGTCTACGATCGAGGAGGGAGAATGAGGCATTCAGGGTCGAGGATCGAGTTATGTAAATTACATTGGGCCTTCTAGGTTCTAGGGCCTCGCGAAGTCGCTTTCGTCGCCGCTGTTGCCCAGGGCCTGGGGTTCTGGCCAGCGCTCGTCCAGAGTGCGGGCTCTGGCTGCCGCCGCCACTATAGCCGCTACAGCCGCGGCTGGCGTCGTCGTCGTCGTCGACTCGGCGCGTTTTGCACGTTGTGTGCGGGTGTGGACGTGGTTGTCCCTTCTGTGGCCTCCCGTGCCACAGCTCGGGAGACACCCTCAGACCTCTGGGGGGGGGGGGTCGTCGTCCTCCTCGTCGTCCTCGGCACCTCTCCTCCTCCATTGGCTCCTGCGGCGTGATTCAGAACATCCGCTCGGATGTTCACGGAGAACCTTCCAGGACATCGATGCAGACATTCCCAGAACGGCTTCCGGAAACATCACTCGGATGCTCCTGGAGAAGCCTTCGGCGCATGCTGCGATCCGTCTCACGTATCCAAAGCAGCCTGGGAGGGCTCGAAGGGGCCCCAAAGCAGCTCCGGGAGCGCCCCAACACACACACACACACACCAGACACACACACACACACAAAACACAAGCCCGTCCTCCACAAGGAAACAGATTGTGTTAACAACGTACTGAATTTCAACGCTTCTTCGAGGCCTGTCAGGCCGTCCTCGGGATGTCGGGCGGGCTTCGGGAGGGCCCCAAGGGGTCCGAACAGTTGACACCTGTTTAAGACAAGCCGCTGCCTCGTCAGAGATGGCGTTGTGTTAAAATTGTGTTACAGTTTGGGCCCTCTTGGGGCTCTCCTGAGACCCCCACAGGCTCCCAGGCGAGCCCTCCCAGGAGGGCCCCAAGGGAGATCCAGAAGCGCCCCAAGATACCCAACAAGTCCTCACAACTGTGACACAATGCCGTCCCTGACGAGGCTGCGGTTTGTGTTCAATGTGTATGCGTGTGTGTTACATGTTTGGCGTGTCCAAGCTCATTTGGGGGGCCGCCTTGGCGCCTCTTGGGCGCTCGTGGGCGCCTCTTGGGCCGCTTTGGCGCCCTCTTGAGGCCGTCGTGGACGCCTCTTGGAGCGTCGGGAAGCGGAGCAGGCGACCTCTCGATGATCCTTGAGAAGCCAAAAGGCAATCAATGGTTTTTACCTGGTGGTGCTCTCTCGGACAGCAGTTTGGAGCCCTCTTGGGCGGTTTTCGATGCCTCGCGGGCCGCATCGAAGCAATGGCGAACGTGCTGGGGCCGTTTTGGGGCCCCCTAGGCCTCCTTTAGAGCCCTTGTGGCGTGTCGAAGCTCAATTGGGGTGCCGCCTTGAGCCCTCTTGGGCGATCTGAAACACCTCTCGGGCCGTCTTGGTCCTCCTGGACGCCTCGTGTGCCGTCTCCGCGCGTCGGGCAGCGGAGCAGGGAACCATGCGAACGTCTGCGAAAACCGAAAAGGATAATCAATGATTTTCGCCCATTGGGCCTCTCCCGGAAGCAATTTGAAGCTTGGGGCGTCTTGGAGGCCACGTGGGCCGTCTCGAAACAATGGTAGGCGTGCTGGGGGCGTTTTGATGCCCTCGAGGCCCCCTGGAAGGCCCGTTTGGTGGGTCGAGGCTTGTCGGGCCCCCCTTGCGGCACTGAGACACCCGTCCGGCCCCCCTGGGCCTAATCAGATACATCTATATATATATATACACACATATATATACACACACATCGTCCTACATACATGTAGACATACATACATATATATACATACACATACATGTATATGTATGCATGTTTGCATACATACGTTCATACTTCATATATATATATATATATATATTTATCTCTGTGTCCCCTTTCCCCGTCTCTCTCCTTTTTTCTCCTCTCACCAGAGGTTTTGTGCTACAGGGGGGCTGCCAGCGGAGACCCCCCCCATGTCCTCCGGGGACTCCGAAGCCTGGCCAGGGGCGGCAGCGCGACGCGAGTCCGACCCCCCGGAGTTGACCGGGAGCGGCAGCGCGACGCGAGTCCGAACCCCCTCGGGTGAGGGCGGCAGCGCTCGACGCGAGTCCGAACCCCCCCCGGGACCCCTTTCCCCGGCACTCCTGCTGGGATGGCGTCAGCACATCCTCAGATGGCTCGCAATCGGCACATCTTTTAGCCAACTCGGCTTGGGCAGGGTTACAGGGCGGGGCCGAGGCGGCTACGGAGAGGCGGTTTAGAGGAGATCGTTTCGAGGACGGAGGGGGGACGAGATAAAACCCATGAGAATCTCAAGGATATTTATCTCTGTGTCCCCTTTCCCCGTCTCTCTCCTTTTTACTCCTCTCACCAGAGGTTTTGTGCTACAGGGGGGCTGCCAGCGGAGACCCCCCCCATGTCCTCCGGGGACTCCGAAGCCTGGCCAGGGGCGGCAGCGCGACGCGAGTCCGACCCCTCGGAGTTGACCGGGAGCGGCAGCGCGACGCGAGTCCGAACCCCCTCGGGTGAGGGCGGCAGCGCTCGACGCGAGTCCGAACCCCCCCCGGGACCCCTTTCCA